GTTGTTGTTGTTGTTGTTGTTGTTGTTGTTGTTGTTGTTGTTGTCTTCACATGAAAAACCGTTCCGATCTCTCTCTACCCAGTAGCTTCAGATGTCTGCTTTTAATAATACTACCTTCAAAGTTATGCATGCAAAATTTCCACCCACCAGTTGTGGGTGCCCAACAATCAGCAATGCACCTCGAGCGAGTATCAACTCTAGACACCCAACAGCCAAGAGGAAACAAAAGAAAAAGCATGGCGAAAACATTATGTGCGAAAATCAAACGCTTGCCAAACAAACTTGAACACGACATCACCTCTATTCATCACACGCACAACCAAGTGGTCGGACATGAAATCAAGCACACCTTGCCATTACGTATTACAAGTCCCAAAACCAAGTTCACACAGCATAAATTGTCCGCAGGAGGTATGGCCTCTGTTCGCACTAATGTAGTAGCTCTAATGCTGAAACTGCGGGAAACGCCAAACCTACGTAAGGAGGCAAGCTGACTCTAATAACGTGGATGACTGCTACTCATTCGGCAGAGGCAGCGCTATCGTCGGCGACAAAGCCGAATTCTTGAAGGCTCATGTTGCACACCGATGTGGATCTCAGGAGCTGAGACACAGGCGCTGTTGGTGTGGTGTGTGGCTGGCAGGGACTGGTGTGTGTGTGGTGTGTGGTTGTGATGGCAGTGGGGGGCGACAGGAGTAGGCGCGTAGGCGCCGGAGCGAAAAAAGGGGGTACAGTAGACAGCTGGGAAACTGACCCCCCACCCTGTAAAAAGGGGGCCAAAATATCGAATATCGAACACCGATATCGATACCGATACCTATTCGTATCGACAAATATCGGCGTGGAAACCGGCAATACCGATACTGCGTATCGTCGATATATATACATCAGTCTTGTATCGATATTCGATACCCAATATCCAACACTGGAATGAATATTCGTATGCGCTCAGCAGTCGAATTTGGAAAGTACATAATTAGTTCAATTGTTGAAGAAGCTGTATTCTGCGGTTTGTCGTACGTCAGTGCAAGTAATCACTTGTGCGTGCAAGTACAATACTTGATGTGCATACGTGGCACAAGTTCGAGAGCATGGTGTTCAAGTCATCTTTCCAGAAACAAACGTATCGCAGCTTACCAGTACTACCGTATTCTGAACACGTGTGATTGGTCGACGTTGTCGGATAGGTGTGATTCCATGATTTCGAGGATGAGCGCGTACTCGCCCCATCCTCTCACTCTGCTTCTTTGGGGGTTCTCCAACCCTCTGCCTATTTGGGGTTTCTCAACTTCTCTACTTCTCCGGGGTTCACTACCCCTCTGTTTCTCTACATTCTTTCTGGTCTCCACTGATCAAGTAACTACATTTCCACCAAACCATCTTCTCTTCTCCTTCGGACCTTCCTGCGTACGTACTCAGAGCCAAGCCTTTCGTACTAAAGGGTCCAGCGGCACAACAAGTAGTGAGTTGGCACGTCGCGCTGCAGCCGTACAGGACACGTACAGGCTTACACGCAGCACTTGAGTTTTGCCTTTGACCTGTGACTATCAGATTGCACAATTGGGTGCTCTGCTGATGTACATCAGTGGTCATTGCTGCATACGCACGTTCTACTTGCGCGACACACTGCGGAGAGAGCACGCACCAACTCAAGAGTAAATTAGGACTACCCTTTTTGACGACAACCAACAACACCTCTTCGAGAGCCGATACGGGTCGTCAACACCCACAAGCCTACATCCCCAAGAGGCCTCGGGGGCGTGACCAGGGATGATGACCTGATTCGAGGACCATGCCGAACAAAATCCGCGCCTCCCTCTGTCTCATGTCTCATGTCTCATGTCTACAAAATAATGTCTTATGTCTCATGTCCCTATACGATGATGACTGGCCTCCCTCTGTCTCATGTCTCATGTCTACATAATAATGTCTTATGTCTCATGTCCCTACACGATGAACAGCAGCCATCGCTTTGCTTATTTTCTCTTCTGCTGCAAGCTGCAAGACGGGGCAAACGTTACCACCCCATGAACAAGGAAGGGTGCTTCGCACGCCCCCCTTGGGGAGTGCGGGCAGCGCGCAAGACCCGCAGAGTGAAAAACAGATTGAGGCGCAAGGCGTTTTATTGTGTCAGTATCGACACTGGACGGCAAGTAACGGAGGCGTTTAGCACGACGAGTGTTTTGAGGCCCATGTGGAATGGCACCCATTTACGCATTGCATTTATTTGTGTTACTTTATTATTGGGGGAAAAAAAGAATAAGGGGCAGAAGGTTACGCTATGTGCCGCTTCTCTATCTAGCGGCACGCTCCGGAACCCCCCCCCTTTTCTTGTTCGTTCGTGTTAAGGAGGTCCCGATTCGCAGGGTATCCGTCGATTGACTTTTACGAGAATCGGTACACCTTCTTCGCATATGGCGTCAGCGGCCGGATACTGGTTCGAATCTCCTTGGTTGGGTGCACACTTTTTCTCCTGACTTGGATATTTTCCCATGGACACAATGTGCGTCAGTCCTGAGAACACCTCTTGGAATCGATCCTCCTATACTATAAAGAACCTTGTGACACTTCCTTCCATCGAATTACCCATCCTGGCCACAAGAGGTTCCCAGTTGAGGGTACATTCTGTGGGTGGAGAGTATTAAGGAGGCCCCGATTCGCAGGGTATCCGTCGATTGACTTTTACCAGAATCTGTACACCTTCGCATTCGACATTATGTACAGCAGCCGGTATACCTAGTCATCCCCCCTCCTTCTCTGCCGTATGTTTACTTGGCTTTGCTGCACTATTATTTAACGCTTCCGGGAAGGCGAGGTGCTTGCTCATGGTACAGTAGGGGTACGCTGTGCGGGTGTTTTAGCAACGGGTGTGGCTCCCTGTGCGTGTGCTGTCAGCTGTGTCTGCTGTGTGCGCAGCCTTGCGTGCACTTTGGGGGCGCCGTGTATCGAAAAGGCCAGATACCCGGGTGACCCGGGTGCCCGGGTACCCGGGTATTAGATTGCCGACAATACCCCGGGTATCAAAATCTGTACCCGGAACCGACCGGGTATTTTTGATACCCGGGTACCCGGTCCGGATACCCGGGTATTAGATTGACCGGGTGACAACCCTACATACAGGTCGCAGGCGATCAGGTCCTCCACTTGTCGACCAAATACCCAAAAAACAATGGATAGTTAATTAAAAACAAAGAAAAGGTCACCGCAGTTTTCTGATTGGCCAATTTTTTTGAAAGGAAATTTCCTGTGGACGAAAATTCCATGGTCGACCGATGACGTCAACCACGGTTGTGAGGTCGCCTTTTCGGGGAAACTCGAAAAAATCAAATTCCCCGTGATTGACCGATTGGTCTGATTGATGATAAGATTCACTCGCCGGAATCGCCGAACACACGTGTGCTCCGGACGAACGCATTTACTGCTGGCTGCACCGATCCCCTGGGCTGGATGTTGAACCCACCATCCCCTTCTCCTCTTCTTGTGAGATAATCGCATCCACACGACGGACGGACGGTCTTTGAAAAAAAAAAGGAGAGCTGCGACAAATCTTGACGGGAAACAATCGTCTCCAGGAAACACCCACACGCTCACAACTACATCCTTCGCTCACAGGAGAAGAGACATTTTCTACAATACAATCGCGTCTTCACCACACGGAGTAATCGAGAGACAGATATTTTCAATCATATACACTATCGTTATTCGTGCCCATGGGTACCCATGGGCATGCCCATGGGTACCCATGGGCACGAATAACGATAGTGTATATGAGTGAAAATATCTGTCTCTCGATTACTCCGTGTGGTGAAGACGCGATTGTATTGTAGAAAATGTCTCTTCTCCTGTGAGCGAAGGATGTAGTTGTGAGCGTGTGGGT